TTACAACGCGTCTTTGACCCTTACACGTATCAAACTTGGTATCAGAGCGAGTCAAAACTGGGAATCATGCCACCGCGCGGTCAAAAACCCGATGAGAAGAGTGAAGTGGAGAAGAACACAGAGGAGGCGCAAGGAATGCGTGCGACCATGGAGAAGGTGAACATGTTGGAGGAGTGTATGATGGAGGTGCGCGCGCAGCTGCGGAAGCTCGACCTCCTCGATCATCTTCATCAACGGGTCGACGCGATGGAACGCGGAAAGGGGAAGAAAACCACGGAGGAGGGGTAGAACGTGAGCCCGTTAAACGCCTCTTCCAGCGGACTTCAGGCGGGGGGCATATGCGTGGTTCCGTCGGAACCTCCAACGCCGATCACACTGAGTCAGGACACGACACGGGTGAGAGACGAGTCACTCACGAAAAAACTGGAGATACCGGAGTTCGATGGGAGCGACGCCGAGAGCTGGGTCCTCCGCGTGGATCAGTACTTTGAGCTAAGTGACTTCAACGAGGAGGAGAAACTCCGGGCAGTCAGAATGTGTTACGTGGGGGAAGCGTTGTCCTGGTACCAATGGGAGCGTGATCGACACCCATTCTTAAGCTGGGGTCAGATGAAAATGCGAGTCTTAACCGAGTACTCGGTGGCTCAAGATTCCACGGCGAAGGAGCGGTTGTTACGAATGAAACAGGAGGGCTCTGTTCGAGATTATTGCCGGGAATTTATCGCGTTGGCTTCCAACGCCCCGGGCTTGTCGGAGGAGGTCCTCGAAATCGCCTTCCTGAACGGCCTCAACCCAAAAATTCGGTTGGGCTTGAAGATGCTCAAGGCCCGAATGCTGGATGAGATGATGAGTATGGCGAAGATGGTAGAGGATTGGGACGAGTATGGGAGCTCCAGATCTGTCGCAAGCTCCGGCGAAGGATTTGGGGAAATACGGCCCATGGAAAACCGGGCCTCTCAAGGGGGGCAAAGAATGGGCCGTTCATGGAGCAACGGGGCCAATGTTAGGCCCAAACCCACTCAAGGAGGAAATTCAAGACCGGCGTCGTTTAAGGGGGGTCAAAACCTGAAAAACCACGACCGTCTGAAACCTCCTTTTCGACGACTCACCCCAGTGGAGATGGCGGAGCGAAGGGCGAAGGGACTTTGCTTCCGATGCGATGAGAAGTACAGCTACAACCACCAGTGCGGGAAGGCTGAGCTGAGAGTGATGGTGGTGTACGATGATGGTTCGGAAGAAGAATGGATCGAGGACACCGACTATACCCAGACGAAGCCGACGGAGGAAGTGACGGAGGAAGTGACGGAGTTGGCTGAGCTCTCCCTCAATTCGATGGCCGGTATCTCATCTCCGCGGACTATTAAGCTCATGAGGACGATTCAAGGGTTATCGTTGGTTGTGCTCATCGACAGCGGAGCTTCTCATAACTTTCTGAGCGATGCTGTCGTGAGTCAACTGGGGATCATGACGGAGAAAACCGGAGGCTATGGTGTGTTAACCGGTACAGGAATAACCGTCAGGGGCAAGGGGGTATGCAGAGACGTCGAGCTGGAGATGCAGGGGTACACCATGGTCACCAACTTCTTTCCCCTCGGGCTGGGGGAAGCTGACGTCATTCTCGGTGTGCAGTGGCTTGAGACGTTGAGGGAAACTCGAGATAACTGGAAGCTGCAGACTATGAAGTTCCAAGTCGGAGACAAGACCATCACGTTGCAAGGGGATCCGAGTCTCTGTAACTCTGCGGTTGCTCTCAAGGCACTTTGGAAGGCTTGGGAGCGACAGGGGGAAGGAATGGTGGTGGAGTTCTGTAGGTTACAAGCCGAGTCGAAGGAGGCACCGTCGGTTCCATCGGAGCTCGCCCCCATTTTAGAGAAGTTCCGGGAGGTATTTGACGAGCCGCGGGGGTTACCTCCTTCACAGGGGTGTGAGCACAGCATCACTCTGGAGTCAGGCACGAACCCCATCAGCGTCAGACCTTTTCGATACCCCCAGGCACAAAAGGAGGAGGTCGAAAGACAGGTGACTGCGATGCTTACCGCCGGGATCATCCAAGCTAATGGGAGCCCGTACTCGAGCCCGGTGCTGTTGGTGAAGAAGAAGGATGGCAGCTGGTGCTTCTGTGTTGATTATCAGGCCCTGAATAAAGCTACGGTGGCAGACAGTTATCCCATTCCTATGATCGACCAGCTGTTGGATGAATTGCAAGGCGCCAGAGTCTTCTCGAAGCCTGACCTGCGTTCTGGTTATCACCAAATCTTAGTAAAGGCCAAGGATGTTCCGAAGACTGCGTTTCGTACTCACGACGGGCACTATGAGTTCCTGGTTATGCCCTTCGGGTTATCCAACGCCCCCGTGACATTCCAGGCACTCATGAACGACGTCTTCCGACCCTTCCTACGGCGCTTTGTGCTCGTCTTCTTTGACGACATACTCGTCTACAGCCAGGACGAGCAGCAACACATAGCTCATCTCCGACAGGTTCTCCAGATACTCCTCCATCACAAGCTGTATGCCAACAGGAAGAAGTGTCAATTTGGCAGTCCGAAGGTTGAGTATCTGGGTCACGTTATCTCGGCGGAAGGCGTGGCAGCTGACACAAGTAAGATTCAGGCAATGGTAAACTGGCCTCAACCTCGGAACGTGAAGGAGTTGAGGGGGTTCTTGGGTTTAACGGGCTACTACCGGAAGTTTGTGCAAGGCTATGTGGATATAGCTAAGCCTTTAACCATGCTGCTCAGGAAGGATCAATACGCGTGGGGCGAGGAAGCTACAATGGCGTTTGAGCAGCTTAAGAGAGCAATGACCACGATCCCTGTTTTGGCCCTTCCCGACTTCTCTGCACTATTTGTCGTTGAGTCCGATGCTTCGGGGGTGGGGTTAGGCGCATTGTTGATGCAAAATCAACGGCCGTTGGCATACTTCAGTCAAGCTCTCACGGATAGGCAGCGCTTGAAGTCAGTATACGAAAGAGAGTTGATGGCAATTGTGTTTGCCATCCAGAAGTGGCGCCATTATCTACTGGGAAGGAAATTCTTGGTGCGTACGGATCAAAAAAGCCTTAAGTTTCTCCTTGAGCAATGTGAGATCAATCTTGAATACCAGAAATGGCTGACGAAGATACTGAGATTTGAGTTCGATATTCACTATAAGCCGGGTCTGGAGAACAAAGCAGTTGACGCATTATCAAGGGTGGAGAACAACTCTGAGCTAATAGCATTATCTCGTCCTATAACTCTACAGTTGGAGGAAATCTATAGTGAAGTGGATGTAGACCCGGAGCTCAGGGGAATCGTTAACGACCTTCAGAAGGACCCTACTTCTCATCCGGAGTACTCGTTGGTACAAGGGAGACTCCTCAGGAAGGGGAAGTTAGTAATACCTCGGAAGTCTCGTCTTATTGGCTTGATTCTCTCGGAATTCCACGACGACAAGATTGGGGGGCACGGTGGAATCTTAAAGACACAGTAACGGATTGGAGAGCTGTTTTACTGGGGGGTATGATGACTGACATCCGCCGTTATGTTGCAGCGTGCCCCACTTGTCAGCGTCATAAGTACTCCACGCTCGGTCCTAACGGATTGCTTCAGCCGCTGCCGATACCAACCGACGTGTGGGAGGATATCTCGATGGATTTCGTGGAGGGACTGCCACGGTCTGAGGGAATCAATGCTGTCTTGGTGGTGGTGGATCGACTCACCAAGTACTCTCACTTTGTGGGGTTGAAACATCCGTTCACGGCAACAGATGTGGCTCTCGTCTTCGTGCAGGAGATCATCAAGCTGCATGGGTTTCCCAAGACTATCGTTTCGATCGGGATAAGGTATTCACGAGTCACTTCTGGCGTGAGTTGTTTCGTTTGTCAGGAACCAACCTGTGCCTCAGCACCGCATATCACCCACAATCAGACGGGCAAACTGAAGTCACAAACCGAGGGATGGAGACGTATTTGAGGTGCTTCGCCAGCGACAAGCCAAAGATGTGGGCAAGGTTCCTTCTGTGGGCCGAGCTCTGCTACAATACATCGCACCATTCTGCCATTCAGATGACCCCCTTCAAGGCTCTGTACGGCAGGGATCCTCCCTCCTTACTCAGGTATGAATCCGGCTCTACCAATAACGCTGATTTAGAGGCTCAGTTAGTGGAAAGGGATAATAAACTGGTGTTGCTACGCGAGCACATTCACAAGGCTCAACAGATGATGAAAGGAAAAGCTGATGAGCACCGTAGGGATGTGGAGTTTGAGGTGGGCGAGTGGGTGTATCTCAAAATGCGCCCATATCGTCAGCAGACTCTGACAAGGAAGGCCAACGAGAAGTTAGCAGCAAGGTCCTACAGGCCCTACGAGATAGAGTCCAGAGTAGGGAAGGTGGCTTACAAGCTCAAGTTGCCTTCAGACGCAAAGATTCACCCAACCTTTCATGTTTCCCAGCTGAAGAAGGCAATCGGAGAATCTCTCACCCCTTCCCCACTTCCTACTCAGTAGACGGAAGAACGGGTCCTGAAAGGCGAGCCTGCAGCAGTCTTAGACACGCGCATCAACCCCAAAACCGGTCAGGAAGAGCTGCTGATTACCTGGAAGGAACTGCCGAGCTATGAGAATTCGTGGGAGTGGAAGTCTAGCATCCAGAAGCTGTTTCCCTCGTTCGACCTTGAGGACAAGGTCAGTTTCACTGGCGGGGGTAATGTTACATACGATGAGCAAAGGCCCCCAATCCTTTACACGTACAAGAGGAGGGCCCAACAGAATAAAGATTAATGAGCCTCAAGGGAGGAGAAGCGCAGATATTCTAGAAGGTGAGCAAGAGAATATCTGGGAATGGTGAGAACACGTGGAGTAGCAGGAATGGCGTGAAGGGAATAAAAGTTGTTCGAGGACGTTGGCTAAAGGATCCCTCGGGATTGGTTAAATAAGGAGTGTGGGTTGTTATTTTGTTTTATCATAGAATTGATCATTGTGGGAGTGAGGAGAGAGAGTCCTTCCTAAATTTGATTCTCTGTTCTTGTAAACACGAATTGATCAATTCATTAAGAAAGTATTCATAAATCTCGGTTACAACGCGTCTTTGACCCTTACACGTATCACAAGTTTCTCCAATTTGTCGAGTCATACTCGTTCAAAAGCTGTGTCTCAAGCTTCTGCAAGCATGGGAAACACAATTTGAATTGAAAAAAGGACAGCAAGTGCACTCTGGGTGCCATGTGTAAATATTATACATACCAATGCATCATCATCTTCTTCTTGTAGCGTTGGTTCAGATCTGTATCAATTGCAAACCAAGAAGAACAAGTCAATATAAACCAAAAATGTTTTTCTCCGGCTCAGATTCTACCGACAGATCCATATCCCAATTTTAATACAACAACAGAACCCTAGAAAACTGTAGGAGACATATTAACACACTAATCAAATCAGAGTCTCTCACTCTATTTCTCCCAGCCATGCCTTTGCTTGGTGTTGTTTTCTCCTTGTCAGGGGCCACACGTTACACCTACCCTCAAGAATCTCATTTATAAGCACCTTCAGCTCAAAGTAATCCAGACCGTCAATCTCAATCTCATAACCGCACATTCTCCTAGGAGAAGAAAAGAAAACCCACTTGAGATTCATAAAGAAAATATCATCTCTGTAGACACAGAAACAATGTTAACGATTTACATACCCGTTCAAAACCTGCAATTTCTGAATATCCCACTTCATGCTCCTAATGCTTCGCATCTGCAAGAGCATTAAACGAGCACTTGTAAACAACAACAACAACAACAACAATAGAAAGACACACAATAGTAAGTGAATAATCTATGCACGCACCAGTTCTAGATGATCATCCCAGTCTTGTCTTCCTTCAGAGCTGTATTGTTTAACTAATTCGTTCAATGAAATATGATCAAGAGCAAGCAGATTATCTAATATATATAATTCATCACATAGATCTCAGTGCGAAGCATTTTTACCTGCTCCGCTTCTCTCTCGCCCTCTATTTAACTTTCTACTATTGGAGGCATCTAACTGAATTCTACATCCCTCATTCCTCTTTCTCCGAATCAACTGTTTCCCAGTATATGTATCCAGATCCTTGACCAGCCTCTTTTCCTCTTCCTCCTGCTCTATCATCTTCTGTAATATTTAAAACAAAATGTTATATCCAACTTGTATGCGAATGTTGTATCACCACTTTTGAATAGAAATGACAAGTGTTACCTTTTTTAGTTTATATAAAACCCTGTGCTTGCCATGGCGAAGCATACTTTCAAGTGACTGCAGCTCTAGGAGACTCAGAGCATCGAGACACTCACCACACAATCTCCTGAAAGTGTTAAAAAACAAAAAAAAAAGACATCAATGTTTCATGAAAGTGGGACAATTATTGTTTGCTAATGAGTCTTACTCGTTCAAAATCTGTAAGCCCTCAAGTTTGCTCTTTTGAGACCCAGCCTTTAGCCGCTGCAACAAGACAAAGATAGGTTGTAAGAACAAAATGTAAGCAACAACATACACACACATACACACATATATATAGTATATATACCAACGCTTCATCATCTGGTTCTAGTCGCCTTAATTGAGATCTGTATCAATTGCAAACCCAGAAGAATTAAACAGGTCTTACCTATAACAATTCTCTCTGATTCAAGATTCTAGGATCCATGTAGCTTTAATTTTGAACAACGAAGAACCAATTTGACAACATATCATTTTAGAAAGAGAAGGAGACCCATCCCACCAAGAGAATCCCGCTTTTAGATAATAACAATTCTCTGAGATTTTACCTGCAGGAAGACATCATCTCTCTCAAAGCTTCTTTGCTCAAGTTCTTATACGAATTATCATCCTCCGAGGAAGTCTCCTCAAACATACTCTCTCTCTCTCACACATAACTCTTTCTGGGATAGAGTGATCAATGGAGTCTAAATACTCGAGTTCGTCCTCCAGAAGATCAGCCTTTAGCAGCTGCAAGAACAGAAGATAAATGGAAAATAATCTCCATGATGAATATGATCGCTGAAAAGAGGAAAGCAAGTGCATATGCGTCATGTGTGTGTGTATATATTATGCATATGTTACGTGTAGTGATCAAAGCAAAATATAATCACCGAATTAATAACAAGTACTTTAATTGAATCGATCAAATAAGTGTTTACAAGAACAGAGAATCAATAGGAAAGACTCTCTCTCTCTCTCCTCACCCTCCCCAATGATCAACTCCGTGATGAAAAATCAAATAACAAACCCGCCCCCTATTTACAGATCCCAAGAGATTCCCCTTTTTGCTCACGTCTCGTGTGCAGTCTTTATTCCCCCAACCTTACTTCTCCACATGTCTTCCTTCTCACAAAATATCGCCTCGTCGCTCTTCTAGAATGTCAGTGCTACACTCACGAGGCCCATCCCTTCTCAAGCCCGTACTCCTTTGGCCCTTCTCTTATAAGTGTAGAGAATGGGCGGCTTCAGACCTTCGAATGTATCATTTCCCTCTCCTTTGAAACTGATTTTGTCCTCAAGGTCGAAAGTGGGAAACAGCTACTGAAAACTCGACATCCACTCCCATGAATTCTCATAAGCCGGAAGTGCCTTCCACTGAACCAACAGCTCTTCCTGACCAGACTTCGGATTGATGCGCGAGTCCAGGATTGCTTCCGGTGCTCCCTTCAGAACTCTTTTCTCTGTCAGCTGCGGAGGAAGGGGCGTAGCCAACAGATCGTTACCCACTGCCTTCTTCAGCTGAGAAACGTGAAAGGTGGGATGTATCTTGGCCTCTGCAGGTAACTTAAGCTTGTACGCAACACGACCCACTCTACTTTCCACTTCATACGGACCATAGAACCTTGCAGCTAGTTTTTCATTGGCCCTGCGAACAAGTGTCTGCTGCCTGTACGGTCTTATTTTGAGGTAAACCCAATCCTCTACTGCAAATTCCACATATCTGCGGTGCTCATCAACTCTATTCTTCATCACTTGTTGAGCTTTATGGATGTGCTCTCGCAAGATGGCCAGTGTATTGTCTCGGTCCACCAATTGTCCCTCCAGGTCAGCATTATTAGTGGAACAATATTCATACCGTAGCAGGGTTGGCGGATCCCTCCCATACACAGCCTTGAAAGGCGTCATCTTAATGGCAAAGTGGTAAGACGTGTTGTAGCAGAGCTCCGCCCAGGGAAGGAACTTTGCCCATGTCTTCGGCTTATCTCCCGCGAAGCAACGCAGATAAGTCTCCAGCCCCCTGTTGGTAACCTCTGTCTGGCCGTCTGATTGAGGGTGGTAGGCGGTGCTTAGACACAGCATGGTACCTGACAAACGGAAGAGCTCCCTCCAGAAATGGCTAGTAAACACCTTGTCTCTGTCGGAGACGATGGTTTTGGAAAGCCCGTGGAGTTTGATAACCTCTTGAACAAAGATTACTGCCACCTCTGTCGCTGTGAAAGGGTGCTTCAGCATGATGAAGTGAGCATATTTGGTAAGCCTGTCAACCACTACCAACACAGCGTTATACCCCTCTGATCTTGGCAAGCCTTCCACGAAATCCATCAAGACATCCTCCCAAATACTCGTAGGGATTGGGAGAGGTTGCAGCAATCCGTTGGGGCCAAGCGTAGAATACTTCTGCCTCTGACACGTGGGATATGCCGCGACATACCGCCTGATATCTGTCATCATCCCCGACCAGTAGAACATCTCACTGATCCTCTTCTGTGTCTTAAGCACTCTGTCGTGTCCCCCCATCTTCCCATCATGCCATTCTTCCATAATCAACCCAATCAACCCTGATCCACGAGGTATTACCAGACACCCTTGCCTTAGCAGCCTCTCTTGTACGAGAGAGTAGTCGGGGTGCGTGGAAGAGTCCTGCTGTATCTCTTTCATAATCTTACGCAGTTCAGGATCTCTATCCACTTCGCTGCAGATCTCCTCCAATTGCATCGCCGCTGGAAGTGACATAGCAATGAGTTCTGGTCCCCAGTTCTTGCGGGACAGGGCATCTGCTGCCTTATTCTGAAGCCCGGGTTTGTAGTGGATGTCGAAGTCGAAGCCCAAAATCTTGGTGAGCCACTTCTGATACTCCAGGTTAACCTCCCTCTGCTCCAAGAGAAACTTCAGGCTCTTTTGATCTGTCCTCACTACGAACTTCCTGCCAAGTAAGTAATGACGCCATTTCTGGATCGCCAGCACAATGGCCATCAACTCACGTTCATACACTGACTTGAGTCTCTGTCTATCGGTGAGCCCTTGACCGAAGTAGGCTATGGGTCTTTGGTTTTGCATCAACACAGCCCCCAACCCTGTTCCAGAAGCATCCGACTCCACCACGAATTGAGCACTGAAGTCTAGTAATGCTAAGACTGGAACTGTCGTCATAGCCTTCTTGAGCTGCGAGAAGGCTTCAGTTGCCTCTGGACTCCACTTATACTGATCCTTCCACAGCATCATCGTCAGTGGTTTGGCAATATTGATATGCTCAAATTAACCCTTAGAGCTACTCTCTCAAATTAAGAGATCACAGTAGTACTTAGGGATCGAATCCACAAGGACTTAGATTGTTGCACACTAGATTCTAGGTTCAAATCAAGCTAAGGAAAACTAAATAAATGTAATGCAAGTAATAAAAATAAAACAGCAAATCGATTGTGAGGAGGTTTTAAAGCAAAGAGAGAAACGCTAGGCCTTGGGAAATTCGCAGGTGAATCCGAATTGCAAATCTAGACAGAATGTTAGGAGTTTATTAAGTACTGTTCTTGAACTTGAAACACTAATATAAAATCAATCAACTTCCGCTGCAGAGATTTTCTATGTCTAAATCCTAGAATCTCAAATTCCTTTGCAAATCCTATTAATTCAAACAAGCATTAAAATCAGGTTCAATTGTTCACAAAATCCTAAACCAAATTCCTTTGCAGATAGGAATTTTGCTCATCTAAGATTAGTTCTGGTGATTAACAATGTTTTCACATCTATTAAACAACCTAAGATCAAATTCTAGGTCATGAAGCTAGAATAAGCATTAAACACAAATCCAGATGAAGAACTCTAATGATTTTATCCTAACAATTCAATTCAACTTAGCAATTCATCATCACCTTTGAAAAACACTAAACCTAACAAGCAAACTACTCAGACATGATCAATGAAACACAAATCATAATTTGAATAGAAAGCATAAGAGAAATCAATAGAAGAAATAAAGGAGTTCAAAATCCTCTCTAAAGGAGAATGATTTATCTCTCCAAAAACTCTCTAAAAAATTTCTCTCTTAATCTCTTTGTAAAAATAAAGCTTAGGTCTAAACAATGACCATAAAAACCCTTTTATAGACCCAGAACACGATTTGAGGCGAAACTGCAAATATATAAAACTTCTGGGCGAACTTGTAAGTCTTCAGAAATCTTTAAAAACTCGGGCAAGATTTGTGCACTTTTGGTGTCGATCGACACCAAAACCCTAGTGTCGATCGACACGGGATTTGCACGCGCACTGCACAATTTCTGCTCGAGTGTACAATTTTTGCACGACTTGATTTCTTCAGCAACATCTTCTGTTTTGCTCCAGAATGCTTCAATATCTCCAAATAAGCTCCAAACATATCCAAACCTGTAAAGACTTAAAAAGATTCGAAAATAACAAAAAGACTCTATAAACAGGACTTATATCATGGTCAAAAACCCATAAAAACCATTATATATCAACTTCCCCAGACTTAGTTTTTGCTTGCCCCCAAGCAAAAAGGAAACTAAATACAGAGTCGAGGTTTGAAAACACGGGAACTCACCTTCTCATAGATCATTGCTTTGACTGTTCATCTTGTAATCCACACACTGCATTTCTTAAACCAAATCGAACCACCATGTACTTCGCCTTAGACATTCACAGCATCCCAGATTCAACACATAAATTCACAGCATTGTCCAATAACTATCATTGCTAAACTTCATCAGCAGACTAAATGTTCAAGAACCTTCTAGATTCAGTCCCATACTATACCTAAATAAATTTGCACTGCAATCTATCAACCTTTGGTACTCTTTCTCTCCCCCAAACTTATTATATTATTCAGGTGTAGGTAAATAATGGTATCACAGGATAATTCTAACCTTACTTCCACCTGTGATCATCTCTTTAAAATGAAATACTGGGATCATTGAAAATTTTCCTACCCTTCACTCAAAGAGAATCATCTCAAATTTTCAAAATTTATCACATTATTTCTTTCTTTTTCTTTAACTATCAAGGGAGAGGAGTACCATCACTTTTCAAACATTGCAGGCAATTTATCAGGTATGAATGAGGAATCAAGCTCTATGAATATCAGACTTACTAACTTAGCCTTTTTGAAGCTTAAGTTAAGTGGAATTTGCTGGAACTATGGATGTTTCTAGTTAACTAGGGAGAGGAGTACCATCACTTTTCAAACATTGCAGGCAATTTATCAGGTATGAATGAGGAATCAAGCTCTATGAATATCAGACTTACTAACTTAGCCTTTTTGAAGCTTAAGTTAAGTGGAATTTGCTGGAACTATGGATGTTTCTAGTTAACTGGTCAGCCTAAGAATTTTTCATTAGTCAGAAACTGGTATTAATCATGCAGCAATGGTCACTCAGATGAAATAATCATCACAAACAATCAAGAGAAAGATCCTAGTTCCCAACTAGTTTTGACTCAATAAAACAAATTTTGGACTAACTCAAAACTGACTCTCAAAAACAAACACAACGTCAGTAACTACCTACTCCCCCAGACTTAAACAACACTGTCCCCAGTGTTATCAAGCCTGAAGTAGGTGAAAAGAAGAATCAGAACTCAGTGAACAGAGATCTTCGAGAAACATACCTTGTAGGTCAGATGAATGAGTCATAGAATGTGAAAGAGCACAAAAATCCAACCATTTTAGGCTTTTGAATCACTCAAAAAGCTCAAGTAACGCAAACGTTATGGATGATTGAACTTTTGGAATTGCAGTCCCGTCAAGGTGTCGATCGACACCAGTAGGTGGGTGTCGATCGACACTGTTCACTGTCGACCAAGGTGTCGACCTCGGTCGATATCCGTCCGTCTCGAGGCAAAATTTATTTATTTATTTTTTTTTAAACACAAAAACCAGTTAGTAAAAACCAAAATTAAGACTAAGTATGTACACTTACCAGTGGGTTGCCTCCCACTAAGCGCTTGTTTTCAGTCATTAGCTTGACTTGAATGTTGGAATTTAGTCAGGCTGATCATGAAAACATGTTGCAAAACAAGCTCCACATTCAGATACTTTCAGCTTCAAATTTCTGCTCAGAAATCTTTTCACAGCACCTTGTCCTTTCTCCTTCATCTCAGATGTAAGAACTGCTCTAAACCTTGAGAAGGGCTTTG